GGATGATACAGAGTCACATAATCTGAAGCAAAAAGAGTAAAGCCAACAAAACAACTAACTTTTCTAGAACATCGGGATTAGTAAATGGTCTCGAAGACCGGTTGAGCTTGTACTTCAGTCCAAGGCCATGCTTATAATTGTTCACGTTTGGTACACCGTGAACAGTGGAACGTAAATCAGGGAAGTAAAACAATACCCAAAAACGATGGTCGGGAGGTAGATACAGCGAGTTTCTGCTCCCGGATACTTAGCAGATACGGAAGAGATACCGTACAACGGAATACAGAATGATGTGCACGTATATATATATAGCAATGACCTGGAGCAATAGCGTACTGTTGTCACTAAGGGTTCAAGTATTATTATTTTCGGCTCGAGTAAAAGAATAACAGTTAATAAAAGACGACGACACCTTAGTTTATGTCTGAACCGAAGCTATGAATTTTGCGCGAAATCAGGCTGCCACCTGCCTAAAATGGCAGTGAAAATGAAACTTTTAATTCGAAAAATGTCAAGGTAACACAGTTTTATATTTGAAAAGGCTAAGAATTGTTGTTATTATTATCATTATAGTAGTAGTATTAGTAGTAGTAGTAGTAGTAGTAGTAGTAGTAGTAGTAGTAGTAGTTTCAAATAAAGGTTTTCACTTCGTTGGGTGACGAAACGTTTGCTATTTAAATGCTTAAGCTTGCTGAGCAATTGAACATCAAACTCAAGCCGATCGATTATGATTCACATACAACGAACACTTCCGCTGGTCGTTTTATCCTTCAAACTATTTAGTGAGCATTGTTTGCATAGATCCGATATATGAGTTGCGACTGTCGACTCGATCATCCATTCACCATTTTCCTCCAGGCCGAGAAGACTCAAGGTATGCCTCACACTGATCTCCACCCCCAGTTTGATCAAAATGCATGCTCAGCGAGCAGTCTGAGTTGACCGTCACAGCTTCGTGGCTACATATACGGGAACAATAAGATCGCGACCAATTTACGGGCTGTATAATCGCTATGACTGCGAAGAGAAGCGGTGCGATAAGGCTTTTAGCCCATTGCGGAGTGAAACGCGTTTTCCAGCTCTAAGATCGATGCGATTTCTCAAGCATCAATGGTTCTTGCCTGATTAAATGCATTGGACACATATTCTGGCTTTACCACGAGTTAAAGCACATGCGTGAAGTTGATCGAAGGATCAAGAGATACCAATGAATTAGAAACAACAGATATATTAATATTTCTTATTTCCGCGTATTGACCATACCATCATATTAACGCCCGGAATTCGTATTGGAATAACACCTCAATTCTATCCCATGGAATCGTTCTGATTGACAGAAACCCGCTTCGTGAAACATGATTGTACCACATCTGAGATCTGAGTGAAAGCCATTGAACAATCATCACAATATTGTCAATTATTATAATCAAACCATCAAGGCATGTGAAACTTTACTCAAGCATATCGCTCTCTTATTTGATTATATGTTTTTAATGTATGATAATAAGACTTACCGCACGTAGAATGTTGTTTGGGCAAACAGTACT